AGAGCAGGGTGGAAGAAAGGGGATGTGGTCATGTAATTAAATACCGTGTCATTAGGCACAGGCAGCCTTAATCCTGGCAGTGCCTGGCTCTGCAGCTTTAGCACATGCATGGGACAGTGTGCTATGGTTTCCTAGGTTTTGCTCTGTTAAAACCAGGGAAACTGCAAAAATGTCATTATGTGACCTTGTCATGTAGGGGCTTAGTAGGATCAGACCCTTGCAGTTAGTGACAGACCTCTGCCTCTGGAGTTAACAGAGTAACTGATGACAGGCTGGTTGTCACCAGCACTATGAGGAGGGGTGCTGATTAGCAGGGGGATGGTGAGCTGTGGGCACAGTGCTGAAGGGTGCTGTGTTCTAGTGGGCATAGCTGCTTCTACCCCTTTCTCCCAAGCACCACCTTGCCTAGTCTTCTCCAACCCATCTCTGCCCCACTCCTGGCTCACCCAAGTTCCAGTTTCCTGCTTTTAAGCTCCTCTTCTGTTTTACCTGTCTCCCTGCCACACTGACATCCAGTCACTCCCAGTCTACCTTCCCCTACTCCTGCGGGTTCCCAGCTCCAATCTCCCTCATGAGTTTCCTTACCCCAACTCAGTCCCTCCCACTCCTGACTCCTTGCCCCAGGCTCTTTGTCCAGCCAGTTCCACTCTTCTCCAAGTGTTTTGGCTCCTCCTCTGATCCATTTTTCCACCCTTTTCCTTTCTCCTCCGCCTCCGCAGGTTCCTCCCAGTCCCAGTCTCCTCCCATCTACTGGCTTACAGTCCTCCCTTGCTTTCCACCATGGCTTCTCTCTCCCTTCCCAGTCTTCAGTCCCAATCTTTTTCTCCCAACATCTCCACTCATTGTTACCCCTACTTTCAAACTTGTGCTTCCTGGGCCTGGTAAGAGCGCCCAAGTCCCGTTTCTAATCCCACACCTATACTTTTATCACTTCTCCCCCACTTCTGGCACCAGCACTGAGGAAAGGAGGTTAATAGAATCTGTTCTTCCTCAGCTGAGTCACCCTGGACCCAGCTCTTCCCAGGCTCTGCTTCTCTCTTGCTTGGGTCCAAGGGAAGGTGATGTGTTGCATGCTCCTTTGCTAACAGCTGAAGGGCTGTTCTGTGCCTGTTTGTGCTGTAGGAGCATGATGTACCATGGTTGTGGTCACGTGATGGGCATGTCAAGTGCTCCACAGACACAGAGCTGCCCTCCTTTCTCACTGAAGACTCAGTGCAGTGCATCTCCCACAATATTTGGCCATGCACTGAGGATGTGGATATGGTGTTGGTGGGAATGAGGGCTAAATATTTGGTGGGATCTCTTACTGCAACAGGTTGTTATAGAAACTGAAGTGTTGATCGTAGGCTGCACCCCTCACCACACAGACATTATCTGTGTGTACAGCGCCCTGCACTGTGCGGCTCTGATCTCAGTTGAGTCTCTGGGCACTACTGGAGTATAAACAGAGACACTGCCTTTCCCCAAGGGTTAAACCAGACCAATAAAGGATATATAGCTAGCCCCACTTTATGGATGGGGAACTGAGGCCCAAAGAGATTCAGTAACTCACCTGAGGTCATACAAGGAGGCTGTAGCAGAGCTGGAAGTCCCAGGTCTGAACTGTAAGCCCATCCTTAGCACCTGGCTGCCTTCCCTCCACAAATCTCATAGTCCTTTACAGAGGTAGAAGAATACTCCCATTCTGTACATGGGGAACTGGAGGCATAAAGGAGTAAAGTGACTTGCCCAAGGCTACATAGTAAATTCCTGTCAAAGGCAGAAATAGAACCCAGGAGTCCAGACATCCAGGCTCCTTCTGAAATGGCTGCAGACTGTCCTGTCTGGCTGCACTCCCAGCCCCAAACCCAGCAGCTGACTGGCTCAGAAAGGAAAGAGTGTTCTGTCTTTCTGTGCTCTCCATTTTCTCTGTCTGTCTCAGTAGCCCTGCTCCAAAACTCGTGTTCAACAGAGTGAATGGCAAGAGGCCCCCGGCAGTGACACAGCACATGTCAGCCACAGAGGAGTGCTACACATCGGCACATGAAGAGAACGTGCGGTTTGTCTATGAAGGTAAGATGGCACCAGAGCCAGGGTCTAGCTACTTCACGGACAGGAAGGCAAGGTTGGTGGGGGTGCCATGGGTAAACCCCACTCTCTAAGTTGCATCTCAGTACCAGGAGCTTCCATGGGCTGTAATATAGCAGAGGAATGGGTCATATCTCAGTGTGGGGCTCTCCAGAGGCTGTAGTACAGCAGAGAATGAGTTATGTCAAAGCTGTCAGTTGCCGGGGTGGTGACGTGTGGCTGAGGGAATGCAGTCGTGTGTCAGTGATGGGTTTCCAGAGTCTGGGATGTAGCCATGTCTTGATGCTGGAAGTTGCCTAGGGCTATAATGTGTGTGTATGGGGGGAGGGTGGCATTTCCTTGGCGCTGAGCTGTGGTGAAGGTCCTCTGGTGTGACATGGTTACCTCTGTACTATTGCTGGTTTCTGCCCACTCAGAAATGCAGTGAATGTTACACCCTCAGCAAGCATCTCCTCTTCCCTCCTGCCCAGTCCAGATGCTCTGTGGCATCAGCCAGTAGGAAGACTCTAGGCCTTGTCTGCCCACTTCTGCCCATGGGCATTTGGAGCCTCCCTAGCAGCTGTCCCAGCTCCAGAGTGGGGTGGATTTGCTCCTTCCTACGCTTCCACCGTGTACAGTGTCCTGACAGGCGGTGGGTGAGAGCTATTCTGTGATGTCTCCTATCATGAAGGTGGTCAGAGCTATTCTGTGATGTCTCCTATCATGAAGAGTTCATGTTGTAATCTGGCGATGAGGCCAGGCTGGGGCACTCTGGGGACACAGTAGCATCACCCAGCTCTCTGGGGCAGCAGGGAAGGCTTAACCCTGAGTGGAGGGTAACTGGTGGGACTACCTCCTGTCACTCAAGTGCCAAACACCCTCCCTCAGCCACAGCAGCAGTGCTCTGCACTGGGGCAGCATCTTCCAGCTGTGTTGCAGGGTTGGGGCATGCAACACAGGAGGTATAGTGACTTGGAGCTCAAGGAATGTGGGGCTATGAGGGGGACCCCAGTAAAGCAAACTTGTCAGTCCTGGTCAGAGCATGGGCAACTGAATGACCATCTTGTTGGAGGGTGGCTTCACCTTCCCCTACCAAAGGAACCTGCCTTTCTCATACCCTCCTCTCTCCTTTCCAGCCTGGCAGCAGATAGAACAGCAGCTGGATGACAGCCAGAATGGGGAGACCAGCTGCAGCCCTGTGCAATACGTAGAGATAACTCCCAACCCTGGATTGAAAAGTGAGTGCCTGTGGGCCACCACCAGGGACTGGCACCCATCCACATGGAGCAGTGCTTCTCAGCACTCAAGGGCCTATATGCCAGCTCCATGCAAGCATCTGTGCCATGTCCCTTGGAAGTTCTCATATGTTACTCTATGTAGCCCTTCATGTCAGCAGTGAGGCTGCCAAGTGCAGTAAGTTGGAGGGTCTCAGCCAAGTCCAGAGTAGATATCAAATTGGTCATCTAGCAGCATCTGCTCAGTGTCTCCCTAGTCTAGCAGAGAGAGCCCTTAGAAATAACAGGACTTGGGAGTGTCTACACTGGTTTAAGCATGTGAACTGTGCAGGATGGAATGTAATATTGGCTGTGCTGGGGGAAGGTAGGGTGTATGTCAAGTTCCCTTGTCCCCTGCAGAGTCCTGCTGGAGTCTGGGGGAGATGAGAAATGTCAGGCCCTAGGATATTGTGACCTTGGGTATCTAGATGGTTTCATTAAACCCCTCACAGCACCGTCAGCCAAGGCTTTAAATAAGTCCTACTGTACCTGCATAGCAGGAGCAGAGCAAAGGTGCCAGCACACTGGGGCTAATACCCTGTGGAACGAATGAGGCCAAGTGATGGGTGTTGTGGGCTTCTCTTTAAAACTGTTCTTCCAACAGGCTGTCTTTGGGGCTGGCGTCAGCCACCACAGTCACCTACCTGGGTCCCAGCACCATGGCACCCCCTAAAACATGTGTGGTGATGGGGTGGAACAGTCCCAAGGGGAAGGTTGGCCCCTGCTGAGTCACCTGCACTGTTTACTCATGTTGCTGGCTGGGTCTCTGGTGGGATTGGCTCTGGGGAGTGAAGGATCCTGTTTTCCCTTTGAGCAAACGTGTTAAGGGTAGAACAGTACAGGGATTTCCATAGCATCTCTCAGCATTCAGGGGAAAGTATTATTGGGGTTAGTGACAAGCCAAGACTCAGTGTCACAGATTCACAGTAGTTGAAAGAAGGGGATGGTTTCCTGGAGCACCAGGTTTAGCTTTTCATTCTTTCAATAAGAAGTTAGGGAGCTTTCTGCTGGGCACTCAATGTTGTCCACGCTGGGAGTTGGGGGAAGTGCCCCAGAGTGGCGTGAGTTCCATGAGGCTTTGCTTCCCCTCCATTACTGCTCAAGTTCTGCTACCCTGCCCCCTTTTCTCTTTCTCTTCCAGACTTTGTGCCCATTGACCTGGAGGAGTGGTGGGCCCAGCAGTTTCTGGCAAAAATTGAAAACGGCTCGTAGAAAACTGCCCTCCTGCTCTGTACACAACACTTGAGTTAAAATGACAAGAGCTCTCTATAAAACAGTCTCGGCCAAGTGAAGATGGTAGAAACGGACCACGGCACCTCCTCGCCAACCACCCCCTGTCTGGACACAGCAGGGCCAGGGGAGGAAAGCAGCTACCCACTGCCTCCGCCAGGATTCCTTAAGTGCCAGTCGAACCGTCGAAACTCCTGCAGACTCTGTATCTGAGAGATCTCGCCACAGTCAGTGCAGGGTGGGGAGAGGATTGACTCTAGGTCTCTCCCCAGGCCATGAGCTGCAGCCCTGAGAGAAGACAGTTCTATGTAACCAGGATCTGGGTACAATAAAGAGCTGAAACTGCCAATGGATGGGAACTCGCATGCCTTGGAGGAGTTATTCGCAGGCTCTGCAAGATGACAACATGGGGCAAGAGATGGTAAAACATAGTGCAGCTGCTGGGGGCAGATCGAGCTCCAAGAGTGAGATAGGGTCCTGCATGACTCTGATAGGTGGGTGCCCGGCAAGGTGGCCAGAGCATTTTTTACTTTGTTTGCCTCTGGGTTCCCCACAGGCAGTGTAGCTACAGCAGAGTCTGCTTGGCTGGCAGCCCCACAATGGAGGCAGGTACCTGTGTACTGGCTGGGACAGCCCTGGTAGCACCCTCTGCAAAAATAACCTCTTGCAAAAACCTCCAGCCTGGGTTTATGCCTCTCTTGTGTTACAATTTGGTCAGTGTTCTCCCATCCCAGGCCTACATGCGCGCACGTGTGGGGGTTCAGAGCACAAGAGAGACTTGATGTAGGGCTGTAGTGGAAGCCGCTGCAGCAGGAAGAGCGCCTCAGTGCAGGCCCGGTCCCCACAGAGCCCTCCGACCCCCACAAGGGGAACCACTGTGTGAAAGGCTTCCTTGTCAAGTTAAAGATGGCCCCTGCATCTGTCTCACCTGCCTCCCTTTTTCCCCTCCCCCATAGGCCACCAGGTATTCTCTTCCCCACCACAAAACTCAGCCTGCTTCCCAGCAACACTTAAGGTTTGACTCTGGCACTGCTCTGCAGGTGGCAGACAGGCTCCTTTGCCCCCAGCCAGGCCTGGGTTTATGGGACCACCTAGCTTCAGGGTGAAGGAAGTATCTGTGGAGGGTGGCAGGGCCAATGCCTGTCTCTGGTCTTTCCAGCCGGGCCTCCTGCCTGCCTTGGAGCCCTTGGGAGGAGAAGCCAGCCATGCCTCGAAGCCTGGAAGGGCAGAGCGAGGGGGGCAAACCTGAGGTCTCCAGCCTCGGGCCAGAGTAGGCAGGGCTGCATCTGTGGGCAGGGGCACCTGGCTGCTTTGGGGCTGTGTCCAAGGCACTAGAACCTGTGGCTGCTGCTTCCTGCTGGGCCCAACTGAGCAGTGCCACCCCCTCATGGGAGGCCTGTGTGTGAGGACAGGGATGCATTCATTTCCAGCTGTTGCATGTACAGGACCCTGCTGAAAATGATGGTGCCTCTGACTGTAAACATGAGCTGGATGACTGACTCTACAGTTGGGACAAGGTGGCTGTGTCTAATGGAGATGAGTGGTACAAGTTCTCCAAGCAGGTCCTGTACCTGCTGCCTGTAAGGGGAGCTTGGGGGCAAAAGCACATGACTCTCAGCTGAGCCTTCTCACAACAATGCACAGAGCTGTGGGATTGAGAGGCACAAGGGCCCAGAGTGGGTGCTCTCAGCATAGGGCTCACAGCTCCCTGCAGGGCATCTTGGGAGTCTGACATATCCCAGAGCCCAATGTGTTGGGTGGCAGTAGGGGGAATCACAGCAAGTCTGGACAGAGGAAGACGGGACAAGCCCAGATTTCCAGGCCCCAGAGGGCCAGGAGCTTTCAGGTGTTGCCTTTTGTCTCATTGGGAGTCTGACAACTCAGTTCCCTGTGGCTCAGGCTGTCACCTCCTGCCCCAAGAAGTGTAGGAGTTAAGTGCTGTTGCATGGCCCAGAGCACTTCCCTTGCCCAGTGGCACTGGTATGTGGAATTCCTCCTTAAGCTCACCCAGGGTTGCGGAGTCAGAAGCTGTTCTGTGCTGGGAGGGGGTCTTGCTAGCATGAGACCTGTGTGACTAGGGTGTTGGGCAGGGCTGGCTGGACATTGGAGACAGGCTGGTTTTGGCTGCTGGGTTTGATGGCAGGAGGTGTCTGCTCCTGTGGCTTTCTCTGCTTCTGGGCCAAAGACTCTATTTTGCACCAAATGCTCAAGGTGGGAGCATGCAGTGAGGCTGAGAGTCCCCAAGGACACTGCATCTCCCAGCTCCCACCCCAGGGTTGCTGCTTGGCCCACAACGCACTCCTACCCCTGCTGCAGAGATGACTGACGGCAGGTTGGGGGCCCCCAGCCAGAGGGCGCAGGGCCTGGCTGGCTGAACATCAGTTCTGTGGGGCTGCATCTAAGCCCCCTCTGTGCCTCTGTAGCCAGCACTGGCAACTAAGGAGCGGTGTGACTAAAAGCACAGGGTGGGGGGGAACTGGGAGCATTGGTGTGTGTTTCAGGTCCTTGCTACTCTGTTGCGTTCGGCATAGCTGTGTTGAATGGGACTCCAGCTGTGCAAAAGCATTCATTTCCCAGGCATGGGGAGGGCTGGAAAATGCCACCGTGCTAAGGACTGAATGTGCAGTGCAGCTTGATAGCCCAGCCACTCCATGTTATGTTGGATGGCATCCATGGCTTGAAAAGGGATTCCAGCGCTTGGCAAAGTGCTCTGGGCAGTGCCTCAAGTGACACTGTTTATGCAGTGGGAGACTCTCAAAGGAGAGTGACTGCTGGGTAGGCAGGAGAGCCCCAGGAGAAAGTCACCTGCAGGGAGGGAACTGCCCCGAGCCGAATGTCTTGCCAAGGACAAAAAAAAAACCTCATCAGGGCCCCTTGTCCGACTGCTTGGGGCAGGGAGGTAGCTCTGGTGGTACCTGTGTCTGCTAATGGGCACCACTGGATTTGCCCCGGATGCAGGGGACCCTGGGCTGGGAAAGACAGCATAGCTGGGCTCAGCAGGCCTATAGGAGATGCTGAAACAGTGCTATGCTGCCTACTCCTGGAGGGAAGGCCACATCTTCCTTGGGAATGGTACTTTCTACAGCAAGGAGTGGGGGACTTGGCTTCCCATCCCAGCATTGCCACTGAGGTGCCAGGTTACCTTGGGACAGACATTTGCCTAGCTCTGTAGTACTGTGGGGTTAGGCCCTGCGCAGCTCCACGTTGCTATAACTAGTGTCCTGCCAGCTTGGGCACAAAGTGTAGGCTTCAGCTCAGATCTGGCATGTCTGAGGGACAACCCCCATGCTGGAGCTGGGGCCACTGTGACACCCTGAGGGGAAGCAGCCTCTCCAGGAGCAGATGGAAGCACTGACAGTACTGGAATAAAGGTCATAGTCTCCCAAGCATGAGGCAGCTTGGATCATGGGTGGGCCTTGCGTCAGCCTAAGGAGAGGAGGTAGCAACTACCTTGCATCTCAAACTGACCCACAAGCTTCCGAGCTGGTGAGACCTGGTTGCCAACTTAGGCCCAAGGGCAGCAGGCTCATCCCCCAGCCAGCAAGTGGCACCACAGGAAGAGCTGCTCTCAGCAGAGCCCACAAACACGGTGCTAAGGGAAGGCAACATGCACAGCTTTAAACACCCAGCATAGCCCCATTGCACCGCTTCTGTCAGACCCAGCCATAAGCAGGGCCAGAGCTAAGGATAGAAAGGCAGGCTCCCTCTTCCTGCCCTGTCCTTCAGGAAAAGCAGCCCCTAAACGTTGCATGAACAGGTCCTGTATACCCATGCCACATGCAACAGGCCCAACCAGCTGAAGCGGCTTTGCATTTACCAGCAGGGTCTGCTGCTACCTTTTGAAAAGCCCTCAGAGATGTTGGTTACAGCCACAGGACCCGGCCGCTAACCCCAACTCTGCCACTGACATGCTGTGTAAACTTGGGCATGTCACCTCATCCCTGTGTCCTCCCCCCACACTCCTGGTCTGTCCCTCTGCTTTAAAAGGTAAGCTTGTCTTTTCCCAGGAATGTTTAGCTTAGCTGCTGGAGTCCCCGGTCCCACTGAGGTCGCTGGCTGCTCCTCTAATCTACGCAAACATGCCAACAGGAGAGCAACTGGGTTGCATTTTTGCTTCCCTTTCATCACATCTGATTTTCCCCTTTGATGAAGGGATTGAGTGGATTGGCAACTCCTGGTACAAGATTTCTGTCCCATTATCCGCCAAATAGCCAGTCATGCCCTAGGACCTATCGCAGCAGATCTTCTGTGCAGTCACTTTGGGAGGGTTTATGTGAACGTGAGCAGAGCAGGCTGTGTCCTCCCATGGCCACACATTGGCTGGAGTCACTCAGCCCCAGACCCTCACCCTCTAGAGTTGGTAGCAGGATAATCAGAGGCTGGAGGCTGAACCTGAACTCTGGGAGCAGCTCTTTATACACAAAGACCACCCGGAGGCACTGCTTGGAAAATCCAGTTTATTTTGGAGATGGAACAACCTCCCCTACTGCAGCTGCCTGTCATACACAGAGCCTTCAAGCAGCAGCCCAGCACCAGCGCAGTCCAGAGATGTGCAGTGCCACTGCCTGCCAGTTGTTGTGCTCAGCCTCTGGGCTTTACACACAAGAGGAGCTTACAATAAATGGACCCAAGGTGGCTAGAAATCAACTGAAACACAGGAAATGGAGACAAGACAGGGGAAGCAGGGAGCTGGAGCAGGATGAAGGACCAGTTCTGATGCCACAGCTAGCGCACAGGGCAGGAGGCTGACCTATACCTAGGGCAGGGGCGGGCAATTATTTTGGGCGGAGGGCCGCTTACTGAGTTTTGGCAAGCGAGGGCTGCATGACAGGCAGCCAGAGGCAGACAAATATTAATTTTCTAAATTTTTTAGGGGCCCCGTGGGCCAGATAGAATGGCCTGGCAGGCTGCATCTGGCCTGCAGGCCGCATTTTGCCCACCCCTGACCTAGGGAGTCCATCTCATTATTCACAGGCTGCCGCCTTACACTGTGCTTAACCTGCTGGCAGATGCAGCACCGGCCCTGAGCACTACCTCAAGGTAGGTACGTGCTTGGGTCTCTGCAGAAGCAGGTTGGGCTCCATCTGTGGTCAACTGGTCCAAGCAGTAAGGGTACTGCTTAGGAAGGGCCAGTCCTAGGCCTAAGGGGCCAGCGCGGTCTGTGGATAGTCACCCGTGTCCGTGAATTGCCCCTCAGAATTCTTACCAGATGGTTGAATCCAATGTACCACAAGGTCCCAACACCTCCCTATCACAAGAAGCTAAAGCAGGGGTGGGGGAAAAATTGGAGGAGGAGGGGAGGGGGACTTTTTGGCAGCTGTGCCACAAATTAGCCTGCACCCTCCCCAAAGTGCTGTGC